ACTCTGGGAGAAGGTGAGGGTGGGATGTTTGAAGAGAACAGCATCGAAACACGTATATTATCTAGGGTGAAACAGATCACCAGCCCAGGTTGGATGCATGAGACAAGTGCTCGGGCCTGGTGCACTGGGAAGACCCAGAGGGATCGGGTGGAGAGGGAGGTGGGAGGGGGGACCAGGATGGGGAATACATGTAAATCCATGGCTAATTCATTTCAATGTATGACAAAAACCACTGCAATGATGTAAAGTAATTAGCCTCCAACTAATAAAAATAAATGGAAATAAATAAATAAATAAATAATTTAAAAAAATAAAAAATAAAGTCCTAAAAGAAAAAACTGTCAAATAATTTCAGAGAGAGCAAAGATACCTTTCAAAAATAAAGGCAAAGCTTCCAGTTCAGGATAAGATAAAAAAGTTACGCTTCATATTCCTCCCATTAAATACAGCTAAACACACTGAAATTATAGAGATAAACTTAACAAAACTGAAAGATGAAGAGAAACTAGACCAAGAAATTATCTTGGGACTCAAGAAATGACATGACATAGGGTTCCTGGGTTTTCTTTTTGCCTCATATATTCTATGTAGGGTGTCTGAGAAGCCAGTCATCTGAAAATGTCAGTGGCTTATAACAGAAGCTTGCTCTTCTGAGCCAAAGGATAAAGCAAGGGGCAGCCTTGCAAGACAAAACTTGTGGGCAATAACCACCCTACTTCAACCAAACTCCACAGAAAATAAGTGTGCTACCACCGCCACCCATATCAGTCAAGGCCTAACAGGAAGCTTAGACTTCCCCTCACCAGGCTGCAACACACACATCTCATTCTCACAGCCAAGCCGCTGTCACTGAAGGTCCAGTAGGGAACCGGACAGCCACCCCAGTCCACTAGAACGAGGTACCTCTCCCATTCCCCAGCCCCAGTTAGTCAACAGAAGTCGAATGGGCAACCTGGACTTCCACCCTACCTGGCAGTAATGAGGTAGCATCTCCCTTTCCTTAGCCAGTATGGTGTCAGAGAAAACCTGCTAAAAAGAGATTTGGGTAACAACCAGAGTCTCAAGAATATGACGAAAATATCCAGGATTAAAAAAAAAAATTCATCATACCAATATCAGGAAAATTCCCACTTAAATGAGAAAAGAAAACCAGAAGAAATTCCCTGGTGGTCCAGTGCTTAGGACTCCACATTTTCACTGCCAAGGGCTTGGGTCTGATTTCTGCTCAAGGAACTAAGATCCCACAAGCCCCATGGCGCGGCCAGGAAAAAAAAAAAAACTAAAGACAGAAACACCAGTATTTGGAATATCTGAAAGGAATTTAAAGCAGCCATCACAAAAATGCTTCAATGAGCAATTATGAACATGTTTCAAATAAGTGGGAAAGTACAACTTAGCAAAGAAACAGAAGATTTAGAGAACCAAGGAGAATTCTAGAACTGAAAAACATAACTACCAAAATTAAAAACTCACTAGATGGGCTCAAAAGCAGAATGGACCACATAGATAGGGAAAAGTCAGAAAACGTGAATAAAGAACAAAGTAAGTTATCCAATCTGAACAACAATGAAAACAGAGCATCAAACACTGGAAAATGCCTCCAGAACCTGTGGGAATGTAACAAAAGATCTAATAATCACATCATGGGAGTCTCAGAAGGGAAAGAGAAAGAGTGTGAGCCTGGAAAGTATTCGAAGAAATAATGACTGAAAATATTCCAATTTTGGCAAAACAACCTCAAAGGTTGTTTTATAAGAAAACTATAAAGAACTCTACTCACATAAATTTATCAACTTAGATCCAATTCCTCAAAAAGTTACTACCACAGATCCTCTAGTATGAACTAATTTGAACAGTTCTGTAACTATTAAAAAAATGATTTCATAATTTTAAAACTTTCCCCCAAATCTCCAGACCAGATGGTTTCACTGGAAAAGCTATATCAGATATTTAGAGGAGAATTAAAACCAAGTTTAAACAATCTCTCTCAGAAAATGGAAGAGGAGGAAAACACTGCCCCAGACCAGAAAATAGGTACTAATTCAAAGCATCACTGTTTATAATACAGAAAGCTGAAAACAATCTATAACTCCTTTAACAGAATAGTGGGGAAATAAGTTGTTGCCCACTTATTAAATGGAATGCTATAAAAAAGCAAAAAAATACTATAGCTTTATGCTTGGTCTTCATAATCCTGTGAAGACAATAGACAAGGCTGATTAACCAAAGAAAGGCACTGAAGAAAATGGAGTATGAAAACAACATATATAGAATCCAAAGACATGCAAAACTATTAAAAATACATTTTTCTATGGGATACAATTTTAGTCAAAGAAAGAAAAGCAAGCAATTGACAAACATAAAATTCAAGATAGTGATGGGGGAGCTGGGAAGACTGGGATCACACAAACTGTCTTAAGATAAATGTGGAGTTCTTGTTCTTTCTTTTCTACATCCAGGCATCTTTTACTGGTTACTGATATGCCAGGTACCAACATTAACAAACAAAACATCAAAGGTCAAGGTTTTCGCCTAAAAGAATCCATTATCTCGGGGGACAGGGGAAAAAAAAAAAAGAATCCATTATCTCTTAGTTCTCCTCTTCCTATAGAAGATCCTCTGTAGATCCACAATAACAGACAAATACAGTTTTACTGGTAACATATCTTAGAATAAAAGATCACTCTCAATCAAGAGGCAAGAAAGCCAATGAGAAATCTCTCCCAAATAAAGAAATATTAGTCAGCAATCACTGTATCAACAAGCTGGAAACTAGACTGTGGGGAGAAATAGCAATAACCTCAATTATGCAGATGACACCACCCTTATGGCAGAAAGCTAAGAGGAACTAAAGAGTCTCTTGACGAAAGTGAAAGAGGAGAGTGAAAAATCTGGCTTAAAACTCAACATTCAGAAAACTAAGATCATGGCATCTGGTCCCATCACTTCATGGCAAATAGATGGGGAAACAATGGAAACAGGGAGAGACTTAATTTTCTTGGGCTAAAAAATCACTGCAGGTGGTAACTGCAGCCACAAAATTAAAAGACGCTTGCTCCTTGGAATAGAGGCTATGGCAAACCTAGAGAGCATATTAAAAAGCAGAGACATTACGTTGCCAACAAAGGTCCATATAATCAAAGATATGGTTTTTCCAGTAGTCATGTATGGATGTGAGAGTTGGGCTATAAAGAAGGCTAAGCACCAAAGAATTGATGCTTTTGAACTGTGGTGTTGGAGAAGACTCTTGAGTCCCTTGGGCTGCAAAGAGATCAAACCAGTCAATCCTAAAGGAAATCAATCCTGAATATTCATTGGAAGGACTGATACTGAAACTGAAGCTCCAATACTTTAGCCACCTAATGGGAAGAGCTGACTCATTAGAAAAGATCCTGATACTGTGAAAGACAGAAGGCAGGAGAAGGGGACAGCAGAGGATGGGATGGTTGGATGGCATCACCAACTCAATGGAAATGAGATGGGAGATGGCGATGGACAGGGAAGCCTGGCATGCTGCAGTCCATGGGGTCACAAAGAGAACACGACTGAGCAACTGAACAACAACAAAGCTTCACCTATTGTTGGGCTTCCTTGGTGGCCCAGACAGTAAAGCCTCTGCCTGACTGCAACAAGGGATACCCAGGTTCCATCCCTGGGTTGGGAAGATTCCCTGGAGAAGAAAATGGCAACCCACTCCAGTACTCTTGCCTGGAAAATCCCTTGGACAGAGTAGCCTGGTCAGCTACAGCCCTTGGGATCGCAAAGAGTCGGACATAACTGGGCAATTTCACTTTTAAGCTTGAGATTATGCCACTTTACAGGGGAGGAGGAAACAAGTTCTAAGAGAATTTAACCTTGTTTGAAAGAAGCCCACACGCCATATAGCAGACTCCAAGCACTGTGAGGAGAGCTTCATTACTGCTACTATCTACCTTTATGACCGCCAAGACCAGTACTCAGATCTGATGAGAAAGAGAACCAGGTTGAGTTCTATTTCTTAAGATTTGGATTGAGTAGTATTCTTTACATCTTCGAGATATGTTTTACAAAAGATCTCTTACATGTCATATTTTTAAAGTAGGGAAAAAATAAACTACACGCAAATCTTGATAATAAAAGCATGAGAGCCTTGGACCCACTCCCACAATCTGCTGAATTCAAACTCACTCCAAGATGAGCCGTCAAAAATGGAACCAGTGCAAAATATAGTCAAGGATACGTGTAAAAAAAGAAAGAAAAGCAAACAGCTGCCTACACACATGCTGCAGCAAAGTGTGACCAGGACGCAAAGGAAATCAATCAGGAAATATTTCAAACTTAAGTAAGCAAATTTAGCGAAGCTGATAAAGGAAGTACACAAAGAGATGCAGCTACAAAAGGAATAAAACATGGGGAAGAAAACTCAAAGGTTTGAAAATATCTCCTCAGGGAACAGGAAATGGGTAGGAGAAAAGTTGAGTGTAGCAAAACCTTGAGTAAACTGTACTGCTTTAAGATATAAAATAAAGTAACAAGAGCTTTTTCCCAACCACGTCTACACACCTGATCCCTACAGGCTAGCGCAAACCTCTCGTACCCTTGGGTCCTAGGATTTGAACCAGTCAACGACTCCCCTAAATCTCTGCCCTAAAAAAGGTATTCTCCCCAAACACGACCCTTTCTGGCCCCCTTGACTCCGTCTCCCCAGGTGGGCTGGCGACTCCTCCATTGGAACCAAGGATACTCTTGGCTACCTCTGCAACGACTACCCCCTTTCCCAAATCACAGACCCACAGTCTCTAACCCCAGGGGTTCCAGGTCCCAGGCGGTTCCGAGTGTGCGGGTCTCGAACAGGCCGCCCGCCCCACCCTTCGCTTAAGGCTCCGAGTCGTGTCCACGTTCCCGCTCTTCTTCACATCCCACACCTCGGCCGTCCCTATTCCCTGAGCACCCTGAGGAGAACGAAACGCTGGGGACTGTGAAGTTCTAGTTAAGTCAAGGGAGGCTTGTTTACCATCGCCATGGAAATCCCTGGGGCGGGCTACGGAGGGGCGTGGTCAGAAGCGCTGAGGACCGCAGTCAAACAACTCCCGCCACCCTCGCCCACGCAGTACCTCCTAGAGCCCTTCGGCTCTCGGTGTGCCCTGCCCCCTATCGGTCATGTACCCGAGCAGCCGGGAACAACAGCCCAAGAGCCCGCGCCCCCGCCCCGCTTCCGGATTCTCGTCAAATCCCACCTTCTCCAGGAAGACTTGGCGCAACCTACTTCTAAAAGCAAGCGGGAAAGACCGCGCGGGGGCGGGGTCTCAGAGACTGGCGTCCGGGGGCGGGACCACCAGGGCGCCATTGTGACGCACACGGAGCGTACCCGGGCTTGGCCACCCAGGCGCAAGGGCGGGGACGGGGCGTGCCTAGCGACCCACTGCACGGAGGGGAGCTGTGGGACGTGGGCGAACCCTTGGGAAAGAAGAGGCTTCAGTGGCACTGACTCGGAGGGTCTCCCAGTGAGCTCAAAGAATGTCGAGATTGAAGACTAGCGTGGTAGAAGGAAATGAGAGTCATTTCCTGGCGAGAAGGAAGGAGGGAATCAGGAACACCGGAGACCGATGAAGGCGGATTGAGCGACCGCAGCCGCAAGGTGTGCTTTCTACGGTCTCCACTGTGCGCGTTTACGTGACATCGACTGGCTCTCTTAACTGGTTCCTTCAGGGGGCAGGGCTTTTTCTTCAGGCCTGTCCTGAGAAATAAAAGCGCTGGGGCAGAGGAAGTCACCGCGGAGCCCATCACTTCTGGAAGAAACATGGTCTAGGCCATTGTTTGGCTTCCTACGTCCAGGCCAGCTGTTTCTGCTCTAAACTAGACACATTGAACTTTCCAGCCCTTGGTAACGAGTTATTTGTTAAGCACCTGTACAAAGTCAGAATTAGTAGTGTCAGGGACCAAGCGTTGTCATATTCTGTTACAGAAGCTGCTGAGCGAATTCCGTTTGTTTTTCATCTTAATTATGTTAAGATTTAGCGCTAAAAAGTAAAGAAGCCCCGACAACCATCGTTGGTAGCTGGCCTGAATTCCCTAATGAACATAAGCGACATCGTGGAATTTTGATGTCAGATGAGGTATCTAACGAGAAAGAAGGTGAAGAAATCTAAGTATGCATGAACAGTAAACAGACTGCAAACACAAAAAGACCAAACATCCCTTCTCTAGCTAACATGAGTGACTTGCTTTTCTAATGACAGCTCTAGTCCTGCTCCATTCCTCCTGCTTTCCAGATAACAAACAAATCACCATTTCCTTGGGCCCTCCCCCAAATCACCTACACAAGCCCAAACACTACAATAAGCCCTTTTTATTTTTTAAAAGATTTTTTTCTTTTAATGTGGACCATTTAAAAAATCTCTACTGTTACTGTTGTATGCTTTGGTTTTTTGACTAAGAAGCGTGTGGGATTCTTAGCTCCCCGAGAGAGGATCCAACTGGCACCCCCTGCTTTGGAAGATGAAGAGCTAACCACTGGCCTTTTAGTAAGTCCCAGTATGCCCCTTTTAACATTCACTTCCTAAGATACCCAAGGGTTCCCCATAGTGTCAGATCTCCCTGGCTACAGCAGTTAGCCCTACACTGTTTGGCCAGGGGCATCACATTTATGAACTATACATAACCATACATTTATGGATATGGATAATTACATTTATGAATTATATAACCATACAAAACCTTACAGCCTTTATTCTAAAGAGAAATCAAAAACATTGTGAATAGTAAAATGAAGTAACATCTTGGTATATAAAAAACTTGTATGCTAAATGCAATATGGGATTGTAGTTTGGATTCTAAAACAGTGGAAGGACATAAATGGTAAAATCAGATTAAAGTCTGTAGTTTAAGAGTATCATGTCAGTGTGAATTTCTTAGTTTTGACAAATATGGCATGGTCATATAGACATTAAATAACAGCAGACATAATGCAGGGTATACAGGAACTCCCTGTACTATCTTTGCAACTTTTTTTTTTTTTTTTAGTATTTATTTGACTGTGTTTAGTATTAGTTCCAGCAAGAGGCTCTCTGATTGTGGCACATAAGCTCAGCTGTTCTGTGGCATGTGGGAATCTTAGTACCCCATGTGCTCAGTCCCTCAGTCATGTCTGACTTTTTGTAACCCCGTGGACCGTAGCCTGCCAGGCTCCTCTGTCCATAGGGTTTTTCCAGCAGGAATACTGGAGTGGGTTACCATTTCCTCCTCCAGGAAATCTTCCTGAGCCAGGAATTGAACCCATGTCTCCTGTGTTGACAGGCAGATTCTTTAGCACTGTGCCATCTGGGGAGTCCTTAGTTACACAGTTCAGTTCAGTTCAGTTGCTCAGTTGCAGTCTGACTCTTTGCGACCCCATGGACTGCAGCAAGCCAGGCCTCCCTGTTCATCACCAGCTCCCAGTGTTTACTCAAACTCATGTCCATTGTCAGTGAGTCAGTGATGCCATCCAACCATCTCATCCTCTGTTGTCCCCTACTCCTCCTGCACTCAATCTTTCCCAGCATCAGGGTCTTTTCAAATGAGTCAGCTCTTCACATCAGGTGGCCAAAGTATCACAGTTTCAGCTTCAACATCAGTCCTTCCAGTGAACACTCAGGACTGATCTCCTTTAGGATGGACTGGTTGGATCTCCTTGCAGTCCAGGGGACTGTCAAGAGTCTTCTCCAACACCACAGTTCAAAAGCATCAGTTCTTTGGTGCTCAGCTTTCTTTATAGTCCAACTCTCACATACATACATGACTACTGGAAAAACCATAGCCTTAACTAGACGGAACTTTGTTGACAAAGTAATGTCTCTGCTTTTTAATGTGCTGTCTAGGTTGGTCATAACTTCTCTTCCAAGGAGTCTTTTAATTTCATGGCTGCAATCACCATCTGCAGTGATTTTGGGAGCCCCCAAAAATAAATTCTGCCACTGTTTCCACTGTTTCTCCATCTACCTGCCATGAGTTGATGGGACCGGATGCCATGATCTTAGTTTTCTGAATGTTGAGCTTTAAGCCAACATTTTCACTCTCCTCTTTCACTTTCATCAAGAGGCTCTTTAGTTCTTCTTCTCTTTCTGCCATAAGGATGGTGTCATCTGCATATCTGAGGTTATTGATATTTCTCCTTGCAATCTTGATTCTAGCTTGTGCTTCATCCAGCCCAGCATTTCTCATGATGTACTCTGCTTATAAGTTAAATAAGCAGGGTGACAATATACAGCCTTTTTTTGTTGTTGTTTCAAATGAAGTCGTTTTTATCCTTCAGCAACTACCCAGATGACCCCCAGAGGTTCCAATAGGACAGTAACAATCCACCCTGCAGCTTTACTTCATGAAGGATGGTGAAATAAAATCTATCATCTGAAAATCAGGCCTCAGCCCTGCGTGAGCCAGCCTCGGGGAGGAGAGGAGGAGACCGCTGCGGAGGCGATGCTGTGGTGAACATGGCGCAGATGTGGAGCAATGGAGACACAGCCAATCAGGGCTGACAGATCGCCTACACGGCGCACCAAGTCCCCACAGCTCCGAGCCAAGTCGTTTAGAAGGGATTCAGGGCAGCCAGTGTGTGCCCTCCAGCTCAACAGGGCTGGCTAACCGTGCAGCAATTTCATGACAGTTTTGGCCAGATATTTCCTGCTATCTTACTTTGTCTCCAAATCCACCTAAAGTTCACACTGATGTCCCCAATGACTAAGAAAGGCTTTGTGCTCACTTTTAACTGTAATTTATCCTGTTATGCAAAAGAGTAATTCAAACAAGAAAACAACACTGCAGAATCTTAGGAGGGGCTGAGGGCTTTGTCCCAACTCCTCTTTACATGAAAATCCTGTTGCCACACACACACAAAAAGCCAGCTAAGGCCTCACAGACTCTAGGATCCCAGCATTACTGGTGAGGAAACTGCAGCTCCAATTCAATAGGCGCCAGGCCCAAGCCCACAAGGCAAGCACCCCGTTAGAGGGCAGAGTTCAGGGCCGCAGTGGATATTCCACATGCTTTTTTTTACAACTGCTACAACTCTTTGCTTAGTCTGTGCTGGGGCTGAAACTCATACATCATCGCATTTATGATCTTGCAAGACTGAAAAGAACATAAAAAAATGCCTTTTTTAAAAAAAAGTTTCCCCCAAAGAGGTTTTGCAATCTACTTTTTAAATTAATTTATTCCTTTAGGAAGATTCACAGTTGGAAAGACAGGAGAATGATCAGTTGCCTAATGCACATCATTAATGGAAAGTAGGTATCTGAAGAGTATTAATACTTAAGACCATGAACTTCTTCCTCAGATTTTTCATCCCACCCCTGTGTGCCCCATCCAACGGATGACAGCTGGGCCACAGTGGGACCCCCCAGGAAGAATCCTGACTGTGTGCTCTGCTATCCAGAAGCAGTGAGCCAGGCCTCTGAAACATTCCTTTTCTGTATGAAAGACCTCCTCCTCTATTGTAGAAAAATGTTGCAACCTTGCCACAAGCGATGGCAGGAGAAGTATCTTCAAGCTGACCTCAAAGCAAGAAGCCAGTTCTACTCTCAAGACATCAGTCCTTCTGCAGCCCCCTCACCAAGTCACACACACTACAGTCATGGAAAGGGCTCTGATACAGATCAAGTCCAGAGGCAGAGCCTGGGGTCTAACCCCATGGCTACCCCTGTGAAACTGAAAAATCACAAGATGGGATGATAAGGAACCCCTAACATACAGGGCACTTTCAGAGGCATGGCAGGGATGGGCCATACAATCTGTCTGGGAAGAAGGGAGCTGCTGTGACACCACAGACCTGATGGGGTAAAAGAGATGGTCACAGGACCTGCACAGACATCAGTGTGAGATAATATAGGACATCTGTAACATGATAAGTACACACCATAAATGCAGATTATTATGCAAGTGAAACTTAAAATGGCATTCTTTTTTTTTTTTTTTTTTTTGACTCTTAGCAAACACTTGCAATCCTTTATTGAAAATCTTTAACACAACATTGTAAAGCAACTAGACTCCAAAAATATTTTTTTGTTTGTTTGTTTACTCTTTTTTTTTAACTGTTTACAATATGTTTATTTTTTTTTTTTCCGTTGTTGAAAATAGTTCATTTTTTTTTTTTTTTTTTTACATGTATTCCCCATCCCGGTCCCCCCCCCACCTCCCTCTCCACCCAATCCCTCTGGGTCTTCCCAGTGCACCAGGCCCGAGCACTTGTCTCATGCACCCAACCTGGGCTGGTGAACTGTTTCACCCTAGATAATATACGTGTTTCAATGCTGTCCTCTTGAAACATCCCACCCTCGCCTTCTCCCAGAGTCCACAAGTCTGTTCTACACATAGGAGTCTCTTTTTCTGTTTTGCACATAGGGTTATCGTTACCATCTTTCTAAATTCCATATATATGTGTTAGTATACTGTAATGGTCTTTATCTTTCAGGCTTACTTCGCTCTGTATAATGGGCTCCAGTTTCATCCATCTCATTAGAACTGATTCAAATGAATTCTTTTTAATGGCTGAGTAATATTCCATGGTGTATATGTACCACAGCTTCCTCATCCATTCATCTGCTGATGGGCATCTAGGTTGCTTCCATGTCCTGGCTATTATAAACAGTGCTGCGATGAACATTGGGGTACACGTGTCTCTTTCAGATCTGGTTTCCTCGGTGTGTATGCCCAGAAGTGGGATTGCTGGGTCATATGGCAGTTCTATTTCCAGCTTTTTAAGAAATCTCCACACTGTTTTCCATAGTGGCTGTACTAATTTGCATTCCCACCAACAGTGTAAGAGGGTTCCCTTTTCTCCACACCCTCTCCAGCATTTATTGCTTGTAGACTTTTGGATAGCAGCCATCCTGACTGGTGTGTAATGGTACCTCATTGTGGTTTTGATTTGCATTTCTCTGATAATGAGTGATGTTGAGCATCTTTTCATGTGTTTGTTAGCCATCTGTATGTCTTCCTTGGAGAAATGTCTGTTCAGTTCTTTGGCCCATTTTTTGACTGGGTCATTTATTTTTCTGGAGTTGAGCTGGAGGAGTTGCTTGTATATTTTTGAGATTAATCCTTTGTCTGTTGCTTCGTTTGCTATTATTTTCTCCCAATCTGAGGGCTGTCTTTTCACCTTGCTTATAGTTTCCTTTGTTGTGCAAAAGCTTTTAAGTTTCATTAGGTCCCATTTGTTTATTTTTGCTTTTATTTCTAAAATTCTGGGATGTGGGTCATAGAGGATCCTGCTGTGATTTATGTTGGAGAGTGTTTTGCCTATGTTCTCCTCTAGGAGTTTTATAGTTTCTGGTCTTACATTTAGATCTTTAATCCATCTTGAGTTTATAAAATGGCATTCTTAATCCTGTTTGTCCTGTCATAACGGACCTATGATCACATTCACGCATCACATCTCAGCTGGACAGCCAGTCACCAGCTTCGTGAAGCCCAAACATGTTGCTGTAAAAGGGCTCTACCCATGTGAGCAAACGTCTCCCCTCACCCCGCTAAGTCCAGGAAGCAATAAAACGAAAACTACCAAAGAGAAAAGACAGGGTCAGTTACTGTACTTAGCTCCAGCTATATAACAGAAGTAGCCCCTGGCACCAATTTCAAGAAAAAAAATAAAAAATACAGTTTAAATATTCTAATTTCAAAATGTTGACATTCTGCTTTCCTAAGGCACAGTTAAGAGGCTCCAGAGAAAAACTGGCAATGCTGAGGGGTGCGCCCTAGAAACGACGTGTCTGTGTCTCTGTGCAGTGACAGGGAGGTGTCACTCCAAGGCCGCCAGCTGCTCAATGGCACAGTGGACTTTCTTTGCAGTTTCTTCAAATTCTTTCTGCTTACTGTTGGTTTCCTTTGCATAGGGTCGTCATCTGGTTCCCAGCCTTCCAACTCCTTGAAGCAGAAGAAACACTGAGCCAAGTTGGGCTCGTTCTCAGTGGGGCAGTGGATGAAGCCTGCCGCGGCCATCCGCTCCGGGGTGCAAGCGCAGCCCTGTAAGAAGGGCCAGTTCTTAAACGTGGAGACGCGGTGGTCCTTGAGGTAGAGCTGCCAGGCTGGGGGCAACGACTGGGCACCCATCCCGCCGCCGCCGAGCGGTGCTGCGATTCAATATACAGCCTTGACATACTCCTTTTCCTATTTGTAACCAGTCTGTTAGTTACCCAACCAGGAATCAAACCCACATCCCATGTACTGGTAGGCAGATTCTTAAACACTGGACCACCAGGAAAGTCCCACAACTTTTCTAAATACTTAAAATTTTTATTTTGGAACAATTTTATTTTTTGAAAACTTATGCCCAATTTATCCTCTAGGGAGAAGGTTTATTTTTGCTTTTGACTGGGATGATGGTTACTGCATCTAGAATGATCCCAGTGTGAGCAACAGAAATGAGAAGAGCTCTAGTCAACAACTGCTCTTCTGGCTCAATTCAAGCTTCTGGATTTTCTCTACTTGACATTTCAGGGTTTCTTCCTGAGTCCCTATACACCTGCCCCAACCCCTGTGGGATTATAGCCACCACAGTCACTTAAAGTGACCACACCTGATCTAGGTCTGGCCCATTATTTTGTCAGCACATAGACAAAAGTAAGATTCTTGACTGATTTCAGAGTAGAAATAAGCTGTAAGTGGGTAAGAATCACAAAGGTACAAGAGAAGTTGTGTCAAGGAAGAATTTTCAGGTCAAAGGAAAAGAAATGAAAATGCTTCTTTGGACTCTGCAAACACATGAACGCATCTCCTGAGCTTTCCCTGGTGTGGTGTTGACACACAGACCCCAGCCATGACCCAGGCACAGGAGTTAATTTACACTGTAATGGAAGGCATCAGGCTATGAAACACCAACAAAAGAGAGAAAATAGGATACCCAAGCCTAGATACCAAACAGTCACTGAGGGACTAGCTATAATAGCCCAGCTTGTTGTAGTAGCAGTGGACAGAAATTTTCATTCAGATCATCCTCCTGTAGTAAAAAAAAAAAAAAAAGATGTATGTAAATATCAAGGGCAGAAGAGAAGATGAAAAGGATTTGTTTGACTTAACAATTAGGACTCCAGGAGAAGGACCTTGTCTTCCAGAATCTGATGGTTTTAATTATGTGGTGGGAGTAGCTATAGCAGTGCTGTCCAATAGAAATATATGAGCTACAAATGTAATTTAAATTTTTTCTAGTAGCCATATTTACAAAAGTAAAAACACGAGTAATGTTCATTTTAATAGCTTTATTTGGATCAACATACCCAAAATATCGTCCAGTATGTAGTCAATATGTAACATTATCAATGAGACATTTTATGTTCTTTTTTTATTCTTTGAAGGTTGATGTTTATTTTCCACCTATAGCACATCTCCATATTTTTTTTAAATCAAGAATTTAAATTTGGGGGGGAATACTTAATTATATTCAGATTTCACAAAATTTACAGATGAAAAAGCAGATTCACACATATCTATGTTGTTCCAAACATACTTAGAGGTTTTCCCATAACTGAATTATGAGTTTTTAAATTACATTAAGGCAAGGATGTGGAGAAATTGGAATTCTTGTGTGTTGCTTATAAGAATGTATTGCTGCTGCTGCTGCTGAGTCGCTTCAGTCGTGTCCAACTCTGTGCGACCCCATAGACGGCAGCCCACCAGGCTCCACCATCCCTGGGGTTCTTCAGGCAAGAACACTGGAGTGGGTTGCCATTTCCTTCTCCAATGCATGAAAGTGAAAAGTGAAAGTGAAGTCGCTCAGTCGTGTCTGATTCTTAGCGACCCCATGGACTGCAGCCTACCAGGCTCCTCCATCAATGGGATTTTCCAGGCAAGAGTACTGGAGTGGGGTGTCATTGCCTTCTCCGATAAGAATGTATTAGGCTTCTACAAATATAATTATAGGTTTTACATTGTTGAAATTTGCCATTTGATATTGGAATACATTCTTAAATAAATGTGACATCATTTTAATATGCATTTCTCACTTTGTGTTTTTTGGCTAATGACATTGTGTGCTAAGTCACTTCAGCCGTGTCCGACTCTTTGTGACCCCATGGATTATAACCCACAAAGCTCCTCTGTCCATAGGATTCTCCACGCAAGAATACTGGAGTGTGGTTTTCCATGCCCTCCTCCAGAGGAGCTTCCCAACCCAGACAGCGAACCCCAATCTCCAGCATTGCGGGCAGATTCTTTACTGTCTGAGCCACCAAGCTCAATGACATTACTTGATGCTTATTTTATATTTATTTTAGACTACAGAAATTATGTTAGACAAAAAGCAAATTTGAGTGATTTTCTTACTTAAGTTTAAAATAGGTCCCAAAGCAGTGGAGACAACTCACAACATCAACAACACATTTGGCCCAGCAACTCAGTGCAGTGGTGGTTCAAGAAGTTTTGCAAAAGACAAGAGCCTTGAAGATGAGGAATGCAGAGGCTAGCCTCTGGAAGTTGACAACAACTAATTGAGAGCAATCATCTTCCTACAACTACACAAGAAGTTGCCGAAGGACTCAATGAAGACCATTCTATGGTCATTCATTATTAGAAGCAAATTCTAAACGTGAAAAAGCTCAATAAGTACATGCCTCGTGAGCTGACCAAAAAGTGTTATTTTGTTGTTGTTTTTTTAAGTGTTATTTTGAAGTGTCTTTTATTTTACACAACAACAACGAACCATTTCTCCATCAGACTGTGGTGTGTGATGAAAAGTGGACTTTATCCATTACCAGCAATGACCAGCTCAGTGGTTGGACTGAGAAGAAGCTCCTAAGCACTTCCCAAAGCCAAACTTGCACAAAAAAGGTCATGGTCACTGTTTGGTGTTCTGCTGCCCATCTGATCCAATACAGCTTTCTGAATCCTGACAAAACCATTACATCTGAAAACTATGCTCAGCAAATCAATGAGATGCACTCAAAACTGCAATGCTTGCCCAGCACTGATCAACAGAAAGGGCCTAATTCATCTCCACAACAATGCCCGATCACCTGTCGCACAACCAACAGTTCAAAAGTTGAACAAATTGGACTACAAAGATTTGCCTCATCCACTATATTCACCTGACCTCTCACCAACCGACCACCATTTCTTCAAGCATCTCAACAACTTTTTGCGAGGAAAATGCTTCCACAGACAGCAGGATGCAGAACATGCTTTCTAAGAGTTCATTGAATCCCGAAGCACGGATATTTACACTACAGGAATAAACAAACTTATTCCTCATTGGCAAAAATGTATTCATTGTAATGGTTCCTATTTTGGTTGATAAAAATGTGTTTGAGCCTAATTATAATTTAAAATTCATTGTTTGAAACCACAATTACTTTAAACCAACCTGATGAAATTGTGCAGCTGCTGTGGAAAACAGTATAACAACTCAAAAATTTAAAAAGAATTACCATATGATCCTGCAATTCTTTTTGCTAGGTATGTATCTGAAAGCATTACAGGTAAGGTTTCAAGACATTTGTACAACAGTGTTCATAGCACCATTATTTACAGTAGTCAAAAGTTGAAAGCAACCCAGGCATTAATTGACAGATGAATGAATTAACAAAATGTGGTATATACAGACAAGGGAATATTACTCAGCCTTTTTAAAAAGGAAGGAAATTCTGAGACAGGCTACAAGATGGATGAACCTTGAGGACATTAAGCAGTGTGAAATAAGCCCATCACAAAAAGACAACTATTGTATGATTCCACTTATATTAAGTATCAAAAGTAGATTCACAGAGCCAGAAATTAGAATGGTGATGTTTCCAGAGACTGGGAGGAGGCAGAAAATGGGGAGTTGATAATAGGTAGAGAGTTTCAAGTTTTCCAGATAAAACTGAGCTGTGAAGATTGGTTGCACAAAACTGAATGTACTTAATACTACTGAACTTAGAAATGGTTAAGATGATAAACTTTATGTTGTGTACTTGACAAAATAAAAAGTTAGGTTCTCAGACATATTCACCACATTTCAAGTGCTCAAAAAGCCTGTGTGGCTAAATGGCCCCCTTATCACACAGAGCACCTTGAGACGAAGGATAAAGAGGACTAGAAATCCCTATCTTCAGATGCCACTCTGAAAGCGCTGCCTGTCAGCTCATTCTCTGCTCTAAGTCACTGCCTTTCTTCACTCAGCCAGGAGGATTCAGTTCAATTCAGTCGCTCAGTCGTGTCCGACTCTTTACGACCCCATGAACCACAGCACACCAGGCCTCCCTGTCCATCACCAACTCCCTGAGTCCACCCAAACCCATGTCCATTGAGTCGGTGATGCCATCCAACCATCTTATCCTCTGTCATCCCCTTCTCCTCCTGCCCTCAATCTTTCCCAGCAGCAGGATCTTTTCAAATGAGTCAGCTCTTCGCATTAGGTGGCCAAAGTATTGGAGTTTCATCTTCAACATCAGTCCAATGAACACCCAGGACTGACCTCCTTTAGGATGGACTGGAGGATTAGAAACTGTTATGTAAGTCTTAGGTGTGGTGTGTGTACTGTGCAAGGGTGCTAAGTTGTTTCAGTTGTGTCCTGCTCTTTGTGACACTATGGACCATAGCCCTCCAGGTTCCTCTGTTCATGGGATTTCCCAGGCAAGAATACTGGGGTGGGAGTATTCTGCCTCCCCAGAGAGGCAGGAGATCTGCCTCTCTGGAGATCTTCCTAACCCAGGGATCAAACTCAGGTCTCCTGCAAGGCAGGCAGATTCTTTGCCATCTGAGCCACCAGGGAAGCCTTAAGTGTGGTGAAAGTGAAAGTAAAAGTTGCTCAGTTGTATCCGACTCTTTGTGACCCCGTGGACTATACATCCATGGATTTCTCCAGGCCAGAACACTGGAGTGGATAACCTTTCCCTTCACCAGGGGATCTTCCCAACCCAGGGATTGAACCTGGGTCTCCCTCATTGCAGGCAGATTTTGTGTGTGTGTGTGTGTGTGTGTGTATTAAAGTTTTTACAGGCAGATTCTTTACCAATTGAGCTATCAGGGAAGCCCCTAGGTATGGTACTCGGACTAATTAAAGTGATTAGTGTTAAATGCTTAGTCGTGTCTGACTCTGCAACCCCATGGACTGTAGCCCTCCAGGATCCTCTGTCCAT